TGGACTCGCTGAGCTAGATGTGGGCCAAGACTGAATTTATTATTCAGCCCCCTTATGCTCCCACTCTAATACAAACTGGACCTTGCCATGTTTTTGGCTCTAGCTACAACTTCGTGCTCCCTGCCCTGGACTTCTCTGCCACCCCAGTTGGAATGTTATAGTAACCTTCTTGGCACTCCTATATGCACGCTAATAGGGACAAATGGGCATAATGTTTGGTCTCTAGTCATCAACGTCAACTTGGAAACTATGCCTAATAATCCTCAAAATATTGGGTATTTTCTATTTCCCAGTGTATGGTTACTCAAGTCTCCTTAGAGCAGTGGGAAAATAATTAACATGCACTTGCTGTGGTGTGCAGGGTCCTTCCTCTGTCAATCAATGAGTTCTGGGTCTGAGAACTGGTTCAGGAACAGAAACTGAACAAGAGTTCATAACATTTTATTGTGATGGCTGTTCTCAGCCTCCTGATCATCCATTTTTTTAAAAATTTTATTTCTGATTATAAGATTGGGCAATGCCTTTACTGGTTGGCCATCTACCTGGTGCCTAGGGTTCCATTAACCATCTCTATAGCTTTCTGCAGATCAGGAACTGAGGCTGCCACCCTGACCTTGCAGTTAGTTCATTATTTACTTACTTTGTTCCTGCCAGTTAAGTGCCACAAGCTGGTACCTATTATTTCAGGATCTCATCACCCCCATTGTTATTAGGACACCCAGATCTATAACACCATTTCCTACCATAAGTCCTGGCCTTAAGAAGACAGCCACTACTGAACTTGCTTAATACCCAATGGGGGCTTCAATCTGGGAACTCATATTCTTATGATCTACATAATCTTCAAAAAAAAATTTTATAATTGTCTCCCCTACATTTTCTTTTTCTTCCTCTTCTGGAACTGGTCAGAGAGTGAATTACCTACTGGACAGAGAGTGATCCTCTAATTTTACCTTTTCTTTTCTTATCCATCTATTTGTCTTTTCCTACTTTCTGGGAATCCTCTCAACTTTCTCATCCATTCCTTCATTAAATATTCCATGTTATACTACTTAAAAATATGCCCAAGAGCTTCATCTTGTTCCCCAAATGTTCCTTCCTTGCTCCTATTCTTGACCTTAGCCTGGGTTCCCTAAAAGCAGAGCCTCGAAAGCAGGCTTATACACAGGCAATTTTGAGAAGAATGTAATCCCAGGAAAGTGTAGAAGATGGGCACTAAATGGAGGAGACAAAGTTTAAAATTTAAAAGTAAAAAGAGGATGCAGATAACTGGCTCTCAATCCCAGAGGACTTCCTGAGAAATCTTTTTGAAATATTCTCAGAACTCTAAGGTACAAAAAGGAGAAATGCCTATTCAATTCACGGGTCTCAGATTGGAGTTAATTTTCCCTCAACTCCAAATTGTGCATATAGGAGTGTCAAGGTTACTACATTCCAATTGGGGTGGCACAGAAGTCCAGGGCAGGGAACAGAAAGTTGTAGCTAGAGCCAAAAACATGGCAAGGTCCAGTTGTAGTTGACCATGAAGAGGTAGTTACTGCAGCAATGTCTGGACTGAGGTTTCTGAAGTGATACACAAAGGGTGTCTGATACAGTGGGACTAGTAATGACTACTTTTAGTTTTTTAAGGTCTTTCCTGTTAGTTTCATTATGTTTTATGTAGATCTCTATCTTTCAAATCAGCAGCTCTCCTCAAGTGTTTGATGATGATCTGTGCTGCATGCTCATATGTGAGGCCCTAAAAACCAGTCTGCAAGCTATGTGTGCATGGGAGAGGCTTTTCAACAGAAGAGCTCTAGTGAAGGATGATAATGGATAGCCCATATCAGTAAGAAAATTTAAAACATCATTAATTGTAGGTCTTTTCTCTTGGGTGAATTTCCCAGTGGAAGAATAGGCTACGATTTCCTGCTGAGAATAGGGTATAAGCCTGACTGCCAACAATCTGAGTGCTGTGGGGACAAAGCACCAATGAGAATGTATCTTTAGGGTAATCACCTGGCTCCTAGTTCAGTTCCCCTGTCCTCAACTGTGCTTATACCTGTAGTCTCCTGTAGGGGAGAATAAAAGGCTAAGGCAATTGCTAAGGTTTGTGATATGGTGAATGGAATATAGATCTCTAGGTAATTCTCCCATTTTCACTTGTACCTCCAATTCCTAAAATCTTCAGGGTTCTGCAGTGCAAATCCACATACCTCCACAGTTATTTTACTGCCAACTTAAATTTCAGCTACCTCAATTATATACCTCTCATTTATGTTTTCCAGTTTCCAAAATTATACACCTGTTATCATCTCTCTGATTTTTTTTTTTTTGACCTTTTGGATTTATATTATTTAAAAATTCTTTACCGTCATTCACTTCAGTGTGGTCTGAGAGAACACAAACATAAATGTGCTTAATAATCAATGTTTAACTGGAAGTTTCTGACTTGTTAATTCCCAAAGTATTAAAAGGCTTTAAGAGTGTCAAGGTTACTACATTCCAATTGGGGTGGCACAGAAGTCCAGGGCAGGGAACAGAAAGTTGTAGCTAGAGCCAAAAACATGGCAAGGTCCAGTTGTAGTTGACCATGAAGAGGTAGTTACTGCAGCAATGTCTGGACTGAGGTTTCTGAAGTGATACACAAATAGCCTGGCTGGCGTGGCTCAATGGTTAAATGTTGACCTATGAACCAGCAGATCACGTTTGTCAGGGCACATGCCTGGGTTGCAGGCGCTATCCTCTGTGGGGGGCGTGCAAGAGGTAGCCAATCAATGATTCTCTTTCATCATTGATGTTTCTCTCTCTCTCCCACTCCCTTCTTCTCTGAAATCAAAAATATATTTTTAAATAGTATCCCTTATTGTGCACCATTCATGAATAAACAGTGTAAATGATTTATAATTAGGGCCATTAAATAACTCACTCTCCCTCTGCCCTTTCTGCTATGGCTCCTTGATGTTTTTCAAACATCTCAAGCATGCCCTTACATATCTGGGCCTTGCCAATGCTATTTCCTCTGTCTGGATTACTCTTGCCCCACAGATCTCCACAACTCCCTCCTTGCTACTTCCAGGTTTTTATTCAAATATTACTTCATCAGTGATGCCTTCCCCTACCCACTCTATGGATCACAGTAACAGCCCAACTCACTGCCTAACTTGTTACTCCCTATACCCTTTTCTCCAGCTTTATCTATCTCCACAGTACTTATCATCACCTGACATATTATATATTTGTTTGTTTGTGGCCATTTAAATTTATGCTACAATATAAACTCATTTGTTCCCTGCTATATCCAAGTACCTAGAACAAGCCTGGCACATAGCTGATGCTCAGTAAGTATTTACTAAGGGAAAAAGGAAGGGGAAGAGGAGGAATGTTGATTGGTTGTTTGAGCATTGTATTTCATAGAATATAATGGAAATAAAACACTTTTGATTGTTTCTTTAGATTAAAGTATGATCTTGCCCAGAGGTTTCCCTAATAAGGGCACATCCTTAACAAACAAAACTTAATCTTCCCATAATCCCCACACACACCGCCCCCTCCACCCCTCCACCCCCCCCCCCCCCCCAAAAAAAAAGAAAGAAAAGAGAAAGGAGGAAATACTGCCAGGGCGCCAGGCACTGTGTGTGGTATTGTATATAGCTCCATGAGAACGGGGACTTACTCACCTGGTACAGCAGGCACTTAAACATTTGTCGAATAACTGAAGACCAGGGATCTCCCCGAATGTTGCTTTGTATAACCATCCTCTAAGAATTTTACACATCTGTGAACTGATGGAAATAATCACCGACTGAATTTCCTGTTGCCTCAACAGGAAGAGGCTTAGAGACAGATTAATTTTATTTAGAAAAAAATAAAGTGACTTTGCTTACATCCCACAAATCTAACAAAATGTTTCAGAGAACATTTGGGGAGGGAAGACTAGCACGGTAAGGAAAACCTTGGTCTAATTGGAAGAGGAACCCCACACACTGTTCACAAGGTAAGACCAAATAAGAAAATGGGGGCCAATTCTGAGAAATCAGAATACGAATGTTAGGACTTAGGAAAATAGTATAGCTTTGACTTTGGGATGGGCTGATCAAGAGGAGTTCCAAAGGGTTTTGTGTTCAAAAGAAACTAAGTATTTGCTAAAATTATTTTTCAATATCTGAGCAAGAAGAGAGCAGACACAAGGTTTAAACCTTTATGTATAAAATGGATTCTACAATTTTTAGAAAAAGATGTCATGTCCCATTCCAGAACTCATCCTAGACAATGTGTTACGAGATACACTACTTTTGATTGTGAAATAATTGAGCTTTAGAATAATTCAGTGAGTTTCCGAATACATTGGGACTGCAGTTCTTGAACTTAATTCATGCCGGAAGCGATTTGTTTGAAAACTGAATCATTCCCCCCGCCCCCAGTAGAAATAATGTAAATTGAATTCATTCATTCCAGACCCCCAAATGATTCCATTTCAACCTTTCTCAGTTGCATTGTTTTTTGAGCACTTTCATACTCTTAGCAGTTTAAAATTGTGCTAATCGTCAATTTTGCCATGCCATTTTCAGTAGCCAGATCAGACAATTTTTTTTTTTTTAAGCTCTATCGTTGTTCTCACAACTTCCCTTTTCATTTTGCTGCTATCACTAACCTCCTAGGACCCACGGGGACTTACTGTAAGTATTTAATAATAATAAGCAGCAACAAAAGAAAACAAAAAATATTCACAGCACAATTTCCTGAGATGTTAACAATGTGAGGTTTAGTGGTAAACTGACTCAGACTTGCATATTCTCTCCTTTGTTTGCCACCTGAGAAACACGTGACTGATTATACAGGTATCCGCATGAAAGGGTTGTCCAGATGAAAACTGAAGTTTTGTTTGACAACCGAGACATTTTTTCCGTGAACAACTTGGTCAAGAATTGAATTGTTCGAGATGGGAGAGGCTCGAGAACTGAGGTCTGACTGTATTAAAGACATAAGTATAAATTTAACACACTGTCATTAACAGCTGCTTAACAGTGATAAAATACACTTTTATTTACTTTGTTGAGTAAGAGGGTCATAAAAAAATTATTGCTAAAGTAGATATCAGGCGAACAGAAAGGTGCTTTAAGAGTCCAGTTACCTTGGAGTTTATTTAAACTAAGAGGAAAAGGTCATAACGTTTTCATGCAATACATACTTGATTCTTTAAATAACAGTTGTGACAAATAACAGAAAGAATTAAGGAATGCTATACTTGTGATCCATACAAAACTCCAGCAACATTTTGAGTAATACATAATTTAAAGAAATGTTTCAAACACTTTTCGAAATACTATTGTTGCCAATACATAGAACCATGCCTTAGGTGGGCATAGGAATGCAGTTTAGAAAAGAAATTTTAAAAAAAAATCACACTGAAACTACTCAATTTCTTTAAAATCACTGAACAAGAAAAACAACATTGAACCGCCATACTGAGTTTACACAACTTCTATACAGTACCTTGACAAATCCAAGAGCAAAAGGTAAGACTCTCCTCCTCTATTTTTGGTAAACAACTGCATGGTAAACTTAGATGACTTTTCCCCCTGGATTTTACCTGGGAGTGGCCTTTTAAATTTTTTTTATTTAAAAGAGGGCAGGTTTGGCACTTTTATACTGATGTCACCAATGTTAATATTTCTTGGGATCTCAGGAAGATTCATATTCTTTACAGCTGAAACAGCACGGGCTGGAGCTCCCGCTAAGCCAGCCTGTATACAAAAGCAAATAAAAGAAAAAGAAGATGTACAACTCAGGTGTAGCTCACCAAAAAACACTAAGAATGGAGGACAATAATAAAAGATTTTCATATAACAAGCTAGAGACCAGATGGTAAGTTTGAATTGATATGGGATGGTTACATTGAAATACTAATCTATAAAGAGAAAACAGTTGACACATTAAAAAATACAGTGAATACATGCGATGATAATGTAAAGATTTAAACACAAATTAAACTGTACCACTTGTATATTACACATAATATTCAAATGACTAAAAGCTAGATCTCTACCTAATATCTTGATATAACTGACATATAAGCATGAAGCATATTTTACATTAGTTCTTTATTAAACATCTCATAACAATCATGATATATTCGGGGGTTTTGCTTTTAAAATGACATTTATTATCAATACATGCTGTGAAATAAAAATGAAAAGTAATAGATCATACTTGTTTAGTTTTTTTACTTAAGGCTAATGCCTTAAAACAATATATATATTTTAAATTATGGAGGCTATTCTAAACTTAAAGAAAGTTCTAGGACACTTAAAAAAAATCAGGCTTTTAAAGTAAAGCCCCAATCCAAAGAGAACAGGTCTGCCGAAAAATGAAACTGCAACAAGAGGATCATTCCAACCTTTGATGCATTAGTAAAGATATAACAATTAAAAATATTCTGTCATAACAAGTGGATTCAACAACGTATGTTTAGTTTACAAAATACAAATTTAAAGAATAGCATAAATGTAAAAGATAGCATATATAAAATTTAAAATTTATAAATAAAATTTAAAATTCTCAGTACCATTATTGTACAATATTTGGCTTTTATCTTAGTAGGAAAATTTATAATTTTGTGAAGTAATTTTGAAAGAAAATGTGCTTAAAAATAAAAGAAAAATGAACACATATCATTTTTCTCAAGTAGCTACAATAACAGTATTTGTATTTTTAAGGATTAATTTATATACCAATTCAATTTCATCAGTTTTTAGTCATGCTATATAATAAAGCCAACAAACATCTCAATTCTGTGCCATACATTGTCTTGCACAAAGATGACAATTAAGTAACAAAAACAAACCTTCAACTTTGTTTAGATTACATATATACAGGGGTTGGCAACAGTAGGTTTACAGTTGTTTGTATGGAAAATAATACAAATAATACAATAATTAATAAATAATAATAATAATATAAGAATAAACTCTACTTTGCTTACAACTGTAAACCTAATTTAGCCCACTCCTATATAAGAAGCAATGTTCATGTTATTAGAGACACTAGTTTTAAAGTCCCGTTTTGTAATTTTAGCTCATTTTTCTTATGTAATCCTACCTCTTTTGTTAATTAAAAAAATAATAATAAAGCTGTTACCTGAGAAAAATCTTGACTGATACAAAATAGGCCAGTGTAAACTATTTGCTGAATAAAGGATACAAACATTGTTAAGCAATGAAATAAAAGCCATGGATTATCAAGTCAGAATTGGAAATAATAGAAAAATCAGTAAAGTAGTATTAATAGAGGTGGTTCACACAGGCAATGCTAAGGGTGATATGGACGAAACACTCCATACGCTATTAGAGACTTAATAGAGCGGGGTCTTCAATTTCTATAATTTAATAGGGATTAGTTGTTTTGATGTATTATTAAAAATTTTATTGACCTCTACATTTATACCTACCTGAAGTAATGCAGATTTTGTTACAACTTACTTTTCTCCCATTGCCCCCAAAGACAAAGATATATATGAATATTACTTAGGGTAGCATAAATCATATTGAAAAGGGTCTTTAAGCTGATCATTTCAAGAGAATCAAAGAATAATTAAGTTCAAATAGCTTTCCCATGTTATAGGCTCTCTTCCTTTTAACAGGAAGTATGTTGTCTGCCAAGGGCACAAAAATTATTTTACAAAATCACAGATATCCTGGAACTAGTATCATTTTTCCAGGTAGAATAAATTTTATAATTTTTCTAAATAACAAACCAATTTGCCACTATTGTTACTTTGAAATTTCTATACAGGGTACAAATGATGACTAGGCTATAGAAAAGTATTGATTAAGATATTTAAATATAAATATTTTTAAAGGTATAAATTATTAGAGGATTTTGTGAAAAAGAGAAAAGGTAAATATGTGTGTATTTTACTGGACGCTATGATTTATATTATAAATAGTTAAAGTAATTGTTTTCAGTATTAAACTAAATATAATTGTCAAGAAGCCTTCTTTTCCATAATACCCTATATCATGAACAGCTAAACTGAACTTAAGCAGAGAAAATGAGAATAAAAATGCAGTCTGTTAGGTTTCATTAGGTTAAGTAATTTCTTTGTGACCAAAGATGGTGTCAACAGTTGGCTACTAATGAGAATATATAAAATCAATAGAGCAGTAGATTTAAATAGTATATTTGTGCCAAGTTCTTATTATGTAAAACCAAAAGAAGTTTCTAAGTACAACAAATTACAATTCTTTTAAACATAAGCAGCAAGCCATAGACATGCAAAGGATGATAACTACTCAGAACACGCAAATGGATTAAGAGAATCAAATTATTTCTCAAGCATGTTCAATACTTTTGTGTAGAATGTCATGAATTTAAATGGTACAAAATTTTAAAATTGTGATGTGTATGTCAATTAGGTTTTAATTAAAGAAACATTTTAAGAAAGCAGATTCTACAGAATATAAAATGTTAAGGAAAAATACAAGAAGGACTGTTGATTACTAAGTAGATGCTTATATGAGCTGTTAATGTTTATATACAAAAACTTAGGGCTTAAAAAAAACAAACTTCATGTTACCAGGTAGTCAACATCCTAACTGCTATATAATCAATTTCATTTTCAGACTTCCATGAAAGTGAAGTCTGAAACATTTTATTAAAGAATAAATCATAATTTGCCATTAGAAAATCAATTTGCCAACACTGAAATATAATTTTCATCTTAGTTTTTTTCTCAGTAAAGATATATTCAAAGCAACAAGACAACTTACACTCAAATTTATAGAAATGAAGTTTACCTGACTTCTTAGTAATTTATACAATTTAAAATGTAAAATGACAGTACAACATAGTTCTTAAAGATTTAGGATTACATAGTTGACACAAGCAGAAAAAAAAGGAATGAAATCCTACTGGAGAAATAACTTGTTTCCATCTATGTTATTTTACTTGAGCACCACCATGGCACGTAAACTGCAGCAATTCCACTAACAAAAACAAATATATGAACCCAAAGCTGTTAAGAGTATGAATTAGATGAAGGAATGAAGTACAGTATATAAAAGAATGGTCATGTTTTCTCTCCCATGAGATTAAATAAATTAACAGAATTAAGAGAAAGAAAACAAAATGAAGTCTGCAAGTATACCAAAATGAGGCCAAACAGATAGAAGACTTATACAGACATACTCTTGGAAATTTCAAGCACTGGAATCACAAAGATAATAATGGATGGATATGATTTTTTTTAATTTTGTTTTTAAATTGCCAGACCCAAAAATAAACAAAATATGTGCAAGCAAAACTAAAAAAGCAGCATTACTAAAATATATTTTTAAAAAATCTGAAAGCTCCCTTTTCCTCATGCAATAGCAATTAACTTTCTTGAAGGGGAAAGGAAAGAATCTAAATATTTATTTTATCTAAGACATAAAATACCAACCTACCATCTTAAAATATTTTTAAGCCTGAAATATAGCATAAGAAGATGGTAGTTGGAATAATTTGTACATACTAAAACCTTTACCCACCCTTCCTGCTGGAAGTTGGTATATGCACAGTCAAAATTTTGACCTAACAGCAAAGTGAAAGAACATCAACATTAATAAACACAATATTAAATGGTTTCAGACTCAAAATCATTAACAAAATAATGGCAGATTTTTAAACATGTTTTGAATGGAATAGAAAATGCCAATATTTTAATTTCTGAATGTATGGTAAAATAACTTTTAATCTGGGAACTTATAAGAGGCTTGCTCTTTGCTTTAAGGGCAGTGCTTTAATACTGCAATTATAAACAAAGAGATGAGAAATACTGATGACAATCCTCTAGTGAGTAAGAATATGGGATTTTATTAAAAATTTTATCAACATTAGAATATTTTATATGATCTTCATTTATAGTTTAATTTCTAGCACAGGAAGTGCCTGTGTGAAAATAATATAGTAGACTAATGCCATTCATGGATTTAATATAACTAGTTTTGACCTCAGGGGTCCCCACTGTAATTTTGTAGAACAGAATGACTGCATGTCAACATAGAGGGGCAGAACCAACTCACAGGTTGACTTCCCAACATCTGTTACTTAAGTCCCTTTTCTTATTCTATATTCTTTAAAAATAGAAACTTGATTTTAAAAAGTAAAAAAGCTAATTACTAGTTCTAGGTATGGAAGTTAAAAGACCCAAGTGGTTGATGGTTCTTTGTTAGAAAATAGCAATTTAATATAAATTAAAAGCTGGAACATTGGCAGTGATTTGGATCAATAGAATGATTTATTTATTTTCTATTGCAAGGATAAAGTAATATGGATCTAGGGACCAAATGTGGTACACCCAGCTTCATGATATAGCCTATGATCCTGGGATAAGATCTTAGAAAATCATCTATCTGATGCTGCTTCTCAAACACATCCAGAAAGCAATAATTTAGCGGCTAAATAGCTATATGCCATATTCTCAATGAGATTTTCCTAATTATAAGGTAGGTAATCTAACTTGTTAAGTTGATAGATTTTTTTCCTTCATGGGGTTCAATAAAGTATTTTTATTTTGAAGTTTTTAAATGGGGTCCTATAAACATTTTCATTTTTCCTGAAATGGCTTTGTACAAAAAAGTTGTTGCTCATCTACAGAGAAATATTTAAAAAGTAATTCAAACAGTTAACTTATGGTGTAAAAAATTTTTTTCAGAGAAAATTTAGTTTCATAAAGCTAGGAGTCTATTAAAAACATTTCTAATATTTGCCAATATGCTTCACAAAAACACTCAAAGTTTATAATATTTTTTGTCTTATTACGACATGTTTGGATGTTAGAAGGTTCCTACAGTAGAAATCCACTTTATTTTGGTAAATACATTTAATTCCACTTTTTAGAACATTTAATTCAATTTTAATAATTTCTGATCTTGTTTTTTATTGGCTACTTTTAATATGTACCTATTAGTCAAAACTAGTAAAAGCAATTCTGTTAAGACTTTGGAATTGCAGTACTATTTAACAGACACTGTTCTAAGCCTTCACTGCTTCCTACTTTGTATGCAAAACTTTGAAGGCTCAGCTTTTGGGTTTTAAATTCACAGTTTCCAAAACCTAGAAGGCAATTTTGTGTTAGAATCCTAATTTAGAAAGATGAGGGGAAAAAATCTATGAGTGTTAAAGTAAGATTGGTTCTGCCACATGATGCTCAAAATAAATTCTAAATTTAACATACCAAATAAATTGTCATTTCTACAAAATGTAATTTGTCAGTTAAATGACAATGTTTAAAAATAATAACAAAAAACTTAATCTTTCCTTTCACAATGCAGGCAGACAAAAAAAGAACAAAAATGACGATGATATACTAGAAAAATACACTAAGTCCAATAAAAGATGAGGAAACTACAAGGAGAAACTAGAATGAAAAATAGGCTACAGGGACTATATGGGTTCATTAACACAAAGAATTTTTGAGTCTGGCCTACATAATTAATTGCCTTTGACATCATTTTGCTTTCCCTTTTGTTAAAGTACATTTTTCTCAAAGTCAGCAATACCTTGTCTACCTGTCCTGTCTGGGAGATTGAAAGATAAAGGTCTGTAAAGAGAAGAATGGAAAGAGCTAGAAAGATCAGGATGTTCGGAAAAAAAAGAGGACTAACTTTAAAAAAGTAGTAACTAAAATCAGAGTCATTTTTCATCTTAAAAATAACATGAAATACATAAAAACTAACAAGTCTCCCCAACCCATCCTCCACCCACAGGGAGTCCTTTCATTCCTAGGCAGCTTCCTGGGTGCCTTTTAGACTTTTCCCAAATCCCACCAACTTCCCAGCTTAACCCCTCCTTTCACAAGATCCCAGTGTTACAAGCAAACCATTTTTCTATCAAAGCAGGATAGCTGAAAATACACTGAAAGCATATCTTTGCTTCTTCTCTCTTTAACCAGTTAATTGCCACAATATTTTGAATTTGATGAAAAAGGTCCGCTGTTTGTGTCTACAGAAGCTTATTGCGTACACATAGTTAAAGATCTGGGTGATCTTTGCTCCTACCTGTCTAGGTATTGGGAATGAAATTGGTTCACTTTTGATTGTTCTCTTTTGATTGATACTACCATTAACCCAAAATAATAAAATCTTTTAAATCTGACAAAGTAAAGGCACCTAGGTAGATCTATGTTATATTTTAAGAGCTTATCTTAAATTAAACCCAGGCTGATTTTTAAAAGATAAATGCTATTCTACATATCACTCAAATTAACTTTAAAAAAAAGATAACCAGATCTTGTCATCAATTATGATACTCTGAATTTTAATTAAGCCTTTCATGGTAAGTTTTTGTTTACATAATAGATCTTAATTAAATTAGTAATTTTGGGTTATTCTGCATTCATATGTTTGGTAGATATAACCAATTTAAGTAACCTGGAAATAGAACTCACATGAAAATTTCTGACATTTCAGTGTGTCTAAAATAAAGCTGGTAGACTTCCAAAGATACTTAAAATATATGAAAATCACTGAAAAATTACAAAAAGTCAAAATTATATTTCAACACAATTTCTTAAAATATGATCAGGACTAAATAGCCTCACTTTGACTTTTTATAACTAAATATTAGCAGACATCACATATAGAGAAACACTTACTGAACATATGTTGGGTTTTATCCCCAATCAGATTTAAAATAGACTTTCTTATAAAGGAGACAAAAAACAAAACAAAACTAATGTGGTAGCAGATAACAACTAATTATATATTAAAAGATTATTAGTGGATGAAAAATGGGAGTATTCACTAATATTCAGAACTATTTAAAATAGTATAATATTCTTATAACTTTCTATCAAAAATGTAAATTCTGCATTTCACTGCTCTTTATAAATTAAAAAACTGCTTAACAAAATATCACTGAATAACCAAAAAACAAATATCCATTATACAATTATTATAGGTCTTTTATGACTTTTGTCAATATTACATACATCACACACTAAGGAGAAAATAAAGAAAGAAAAGGACACCACCAATGGAAAGGAGTTTAAATACCTAGAAATTTTCAATGTGAAAATTCCAGAAAAGAAGTCTATATATTTTTACAGATAATTACACAGAATTGACAAATTATCAAATCCATTCATTTTATAGTGATTAATGGATTGTGTCACTGTCTGTCTCTTGGCATTTAAAATCTGTAACCATCGTTTTGTAATGAAAAGTTTAACAGATGATATAAATTGGCGAGATGAATTAGAGAAGACATCTGGGATTTGAGTTGCGGCAGAGAAGGAGTGGAGGTATTTAGCCTTCTGCCCTATGGTGCCACTGAGAAAGGACAGGACCTTTCGGAGGTACCTGTGAAGAAAGGGGAGCAGGACCTCTCCCTCCTCCAGATTCCTACCCTCTAGTGCCAGCCCCCTGTGAACTTCATCCCAAAGTGGAGCCGGGATAGAGCACAGGTTTGGGTGCTGGATGAAAGACAAGGGGGTGATTTGTGAGTCCCATGTAAATTTGTACATTGAAATATTTATGTTTGCATATATATTTGGTGTGCATGTAAAATGAGCCAATAAACCAGACTGTGTGTAAAAAGAAATTTTCAAATTATAATTTTAAGACTTTAAAAAACTACAGCTTAGAGTTTATAGTAAATCTTTTACTATACATTATATATTGCAAACCAACCACACTAAATAATATTCTGAATTGTTTTCCTTGTCCTAGTTTAATCTAGTTTATATTTTCCCCTTTCAAAAACAATACTTGAAAAATTGGCTATAGAACACACAAAATACATAGTTATTTAAAAGAGCCATAATTTTAAGCTCTTCACTATTATAAGTCTCTCCTTTGGAAAACCAATAGGGATGGTAAATTGAGATAAGAAGAAATTTTAAATAAAACACTGGAAAATGTTTTTATCAAAGTTTCAACTGTTTCTAACCCTCAGATTTCAGATTTATCCATCATCCTGTGTTTTACTCAGTTCTAATGAGCATAGTATTTATTTGTATTAAACTGATCCTTTAAAGTACCAATAAAATAATAATTCTTCAGAACTCACCTGTTGTAAATTAATGCTAACAGTTTTAATATCTTGTTGCTTTTATAGTACTTTATAACAATCAAACATCTGAACTTGTCCTAATAATTATAAAATATATTTTCCTAATCTATTAATACCAAAGGTAAGAGTATCCTCAAACATACACATCACTGAATGAGATATTAAGATGTTAGCTATCTAAACTTCTGCTACAGTAATAAATAACCAAAATAATGTGAACTTGAGTGGCTCTGCTAAAGCACCTGTCACTAATATTCAGCCTAGTACATGTGGGAGGAGTCACTAAATCTACAGTAGGGTTTTATACAATGCTAAAGTGCTGGCTGGTCCCCATTCACCTAACCTAACAGCACAAAGTTAGCACTGCATAACTAACCAAATCTTTCCTTTATAGAATGCAATAAAAGCCATGAATATATGTATCAACGAATAAAATATATGATTTAGCAAACTGGTCAGTAACCTTTGGGTAAGATCCAGAATTAAAAGATTAAGGTACTGAATTTCCCTTTTCAATATGTACTCAGGCTTGCTAAGCACCTATTATAACTTATTATTTCCTCATGAGAATTCCATTGCCTTTTCTCTCCTCTTCCAGAAATAGTTTTATAATGCTAAATTTATATATCTTTAAAATATAAGTCCTAAGATGTCCTTGATAATTACTGACTAATGTTTTAGAAAGCTAATATTCCATTTTCAAGTAAATAATTTCATTTTTAAGCAGTAAGAATTTGGAATTGTGTTAATTACCCAAGGCAGGTATGACCATGGCTAAAAGAAGGATGCACAACTACTTGGTGGGTAGTAGCCACAGAACATCTGGCATACTACAATATGTATATCCCACTTAAAAACTGGACAAGCATACCAATTGTACCTAAAGGTGATACTAAAGGACAAACAGTGAAAACTACAAATCATGCATAATTTATGACCATGTTTACCACCTTCACTAACTAGAGCACTTTCCGTTCTTACCTCAGATTTCTCCAGTTTATTTTGTGCATCAATTTGTGTAACAATCTCATTCATGTTGGTCTCCAATACCATTCCCCCCATCACCATTTCTGCAAGAATATTGTGAACCTAAAGGGAAAAAAATAATACACACCTATAGAGAAAACTCACTACAAAAACATTTCATAATTCCAGTAGTTTTTGGTTTAAATACTGCTGTGTCTACTTTATGAGCTGTATAATAAAATAATTTGGAATGAAGGCTTAAAACCCACTTTCATCACTACTGTGAAGCTTTAGGTAGTTATATATAACCTCTTTAAGTCTTATTTTAATGGGCTATAAAACAGAGATAATAATAGTATCTCCTTCATAGATTGCTGAAAAAATTAAATGAGGTCATCCATGGAAGTACCCAAAACAAAGTAAATGACCAATAAATATTAGCTACCTAATGATTTTGTTAGAGAGAAGAAGTGAGAGATAGAAACATCAATGATGAGAGAGACTCACCGATCAGCTATCTCCTGTACACCCCACAACCTGGGCATGTGCCCTGACTGGGAAACGAACTGCAACCTCTTGGTTCACAGGTCAACGCTCAACTGAGCCACATCGACCAGGCCGAAGGTAAGGTAATTTTTTAAAATCACTTTTTTGCTAAAAATTTAGGCCACTTATTTCAGACTATTTTATTCAATGGCTTAATAACTCAAATTAACATAAACTTAATACAGAAAAAAATCTATATATAGTAAAAGTGGAATCTCTTTCTTCTAAATTCTGTATTACCAATACCCAATAATACTGATTAGAAAACTCAGTCATTCTTCCCTTCTCTTACCTCCAGCTTTCAATAGGCTATCAGGGTCCTACTCTACTCTCTTTCATCCTTACTATACTGTCTTAGTTCATTTCTTTCTGGACTACTGCAACAGGTTCCTAAATTGATTTCTCTGTTTTTGATCTCCCACTTAACAATCCAACTTCCAAAAAAGAGCCACCTCTCCTTTTCTGTCTGTGAAAAATATCTACTAATCTTTAAAAATCCAGTTAAATGTAATTTCCTCCATTCACACAATCCTAGGAAGAGAATAAAAATAGCCTTATTCACTAAATCCATTTTTACTTTGGCAAATAAAACAACATTTTTCTCAGGTAAAAAGCTTAGAAGATTTAACAATATAGAAGTAGTACCTTGTCTACATGGAAAATTAAATCCAGTTCACAGACATTTTCAAAACATTTGTCTAATGTTTCCACAAATACCTAAGGAAAAAGAAAAGAGAAAAAGTTAAAAGCTTTTGAGAACTGTGTAAGTTCATTCAAATCTATTATCTACAAGGCAGACAATCTTGTGACAAAAACTTTTATAAATCTATTATTACACTAGAGGCCCGGTGCACGAAATTCGTGCACAGGAGGGGTGTATGTGACCCTCAGCTCAGCCTGGACCCTCTCCAATCTGGGAACACTCGGGGGATGTCTGACTGCCCATTTAAAACCCTCTCACAATCTGGGACTGCTGGCTACCAACCGCTCGCCTGCCTGCCAGCCTGATCACCCCCTCCCCTGCCAGCCCGATTGCTCCCAACTGACCTCTCCTGCTGGCCCAATTGCCCCACGGCCCTCCCCTGCCGGCCCGATCGCCCCCAACTGCCCTCTCTTGCTGGCCCAATCGCCCTCAACTGTCCTCCCCTGCTGGCCATCTTGTGACGACATGGGGGCAGCCATCTTGTGAGGGCATGATGGTCAATTTGCATATTACTTCTTTATTATATAGGGTATCTGTTTTTAATTAAAACATTATATTAAGTGCAAAATAAGTAATTATAAACTATTCTTCATGTAAACTACTTTTCAATACATTAATATATAAAACAACTTTGCTGAAAATAAGAACTAGAAATTCTTAGCACCTTTTACCTACAAAGCACCGGAAAATACTCAAATCAAGCTCCCTATCCTCATGTGAGAAAAAAGAAAGCTTATTAGTATTTTATCAGGCCTTGGCTTGTGTGGCTCAGTTGGTTGAGCATAGTCCCATGAACCAAAAGGTCACTGTTTTGATTCCCAGTCAGGGCACATGCCCAGGTTGTGGATTCAATCTCCGGTCAGGGTGTGTGTGTGGGAGACAACCAATTGATATTTCTCCCTCATACTGAAGTCTCTCTCTCTCTCAAATCAATAAAAAACTTATATATATTTTTAAATATATTTTATTGATTTTTACAGAGAGGAAGGGGGAGAGATAGAGAATCAGAAACACCGATGAGAGAGAAACATCGATCAGCTGCCTCCTGCACACCCCCCACTGGGGATGTGCCCACAACCAAAGTACATGCCCTTGACCAGAATCGAACCTGGGACCCTTCAGTCCACAGGCCGACGCTCTATCCACTGAGCCAAACCAGTTAGGACAAAAAACCATATTTTTTAAAAAGAAGAATTTTATCAGGATAGATGGGCATAGTCCAAGTCACTATCACATCTAATGTAACCAGTAATTTCCAATTAGCAAATCAGTATATAAAAGATCTCTAAAAATTACTTAGGGAAAGAACAGAGTCTTTGGAATCAGACTTCCTGGGTTCAAACTCTGGCTTGAATACCTTCTATTACCATATATGTGAAAGGATTAACTCAGCCAACCTGGCTTGCTGAAACCTACACATTCCCCGAAATGATCTGATTTCAGACTAGCCCTCAGCTAGCTCCTGGGAACCGAGCCCTTGGAAAATTCTGACAAGAGTGTTTAATGGGCCTGTGGTCTTGGGCCACACTGTACAGTATGAGCAGTTTATGCTACCAATATGATTTATGGCAAACATCTCTTTTTCTCTGAGGTTCAGGAACTTAACAATCAAGGTCAGTCACACAGGTGCTACATACCTATATGACTGCCCCCAATAAAAATTCTGGACACCCAGGCTAAGATGAGCTTCCCTGGTTGGGAACACTTTGCACATATCATCATATATCACTTCTGGGGGAATTAAGCACATCTGTGTGACTCCAGTGGGAAGGGACACCTGGAAGATTGCACCTGGTTCCATCAGACTTTTCCTCATATGTTTTTATGATTTTACTCTGTATCCTTTCACAATAAACCCTCACCATTAGCCTAGCAACTTCTGAGTCCTGTGAATCCTAGTAAATCATTCAGATGACCTTGGGACCTCTGATACAAACAATTTCTAAAATTCTACCTATTTGTATTTCTATTCCCACTACCTTTCTCAATGGCAGCTTTCACAGACAGAGTAACTATTCAATTTATCATCCAAATTGGGGGGGAGGGGCAGTATTAAGAGTAAAAAAGAGCAGCCATTAATTATTATTATCCTACTAGAGGCCTGGTGCATGGAATTTGTTCACTGGGTGGGTGTCCCTCAGCCCAGCCTGCCCCCTCTCACAGTCTGGGAGCCCTCAGGGGGTGTCCTACTGACGGCTTGTGGGGAACAGGCCTAAGCCACAGTCTGGCCACGGCAGCTCAGAGCACGCCCCCCTGGGCAAGTCTGTGGGTCCACTGGGGGTGTTGCTCCCAGGGCAGGCAGTGCAGTGTGCCTGTCTTCAAATCCCTGGTAGGAGTGGCCTCAGGGTTGGGCGGCACCAGGGCTGAGAGGGTGGGGGTGGGGGGGTCTGAGCCGCGCCCCCAGCCCTGGTGTGTGGTGTGTGTAATTGGGGCCAGGGGCTTGCTCTGAGTTGGTCATGATGTCTCAGCCTAATTTGCATATTTCTCTCTTATTATATAGGATATAATAAAAGCCTAATATGCAAATTGTCCCATTGGGCGCTTGTTTGACCGGGAGTTTAACTGGGAGACCAGGAGTTCAACCAGGAGACCAGGAATTTAACCAGGAGACTGGGAGTTCAACCAGGAGACCAGGAATTCAACCGCTCACTTTGACGTGCGCTGACTACCAGGGGCAGCACAGAACATGGCGGTCATTGGCAATGTGGTGCTGGCAGCAAGCGGCAGTGGAGGCACTGCTGGTAGTGATAGGTCCGACAAGAGCGGGACCGCAGCGGGATAGTGAAGCAGGTGAGTGGGCGGCGCCAGGCTAAGGTGGGTGTGAGCGGGTGCCCAGGTGCTGCCCAGGGCCCAGAGGTCAGCTGGAACCTGCCCTTCCACTCCAGACGCTCGTGCTTCAATCACCGGCCAGGCCTAGGGACCGTACCCATGCATGAATTTAATTCACCAGGCCTCTAGTTATAATAATAGATGCGATGTTATCGTAATAAAACAACAGCTTGCAACAACAGATGTAAGCAGAACTGTTCCTAGCATATTGAAATGTATGGACACCCTATTCAGAGGTGATCCAATGGGACAAAGAGTAAATTCTAAATAGCAGGTTTCTTGCTATAACTGCTCTTCAGTAAAATGTCATAATTACATATTCTTAATTTAGGAAAATAATTCCCAAGACTTAATGCACTCAAATGTTAAATTTGGCTTTAAATAAATCAAAGCCCTCTTCAAAAAACTTTCCAATATGAATAACACATGGACACAGACAGTACGGTGGTGGAGGTATGGGGTGGGAGGGCAGGGGCAGGCAATAAAGGGGTCAGTGGGAGAAAAAAGGGGACATATCTAATACTTTCAACAATAAAGATTTTTTTAAAAAAAATTTCCATTACTTTTCTTTTCATTTAGCAAAATTACTTAATATAATTAGAAATCCAGTGCCCCCCAAATAGATACACACTGCCAATCTGTTACACGGAGAAGGCCAATACAAAACTAATAATTTATAAACTGAAGTAAAAAATATAAGAAAATAAATTAATGGTTCTATCCAGAACAAAAAAAAATAATAATAAAGTTGCTACTGCACTCTATTTCACAAGGAGAAATATTTTTTTAAAAGCAAAACACTAGTAGTGAATAGTAAATAGCACCCTCTTGTGTTTCATTTTTAAAATAATATAAAGTTTAAAGTCAATTTCAATATAACAATTATTTACTAAATAGCTACTCATTAATCTATGGCTTCAAGGAATTCAAAGACTAGTGCAAGAAAAATTATTTTTAATTTACTAAGAGAATTGTGTTTTACATTTTCCTTCATTTTAATAATACCTAGTTTAAACAAAATAGCGATTTAACTCTAAGTCTCAGTTTCTTCATTTGGGCATATTCATGGCACCTATCCCATAGAGTTGTTTTAGTGATTAAATGAATAAATATAAAGGGCTGCGAACAGTGTCTCACTAAAAAAAGTACTATATATACATTAGCTAGTACTAGAATACTATATATAAAATTTCTTTCTGAGTTTGGGGACTTCTGTTAAATTTTAGGAGGACTTTATCCTACTGTTTCTAAGCTATAATATTAAATGAAGTACATAAATGTAAAACTAACAAGTTATAAGATAGAAAATGTTTTAAGCCCAAGAATAGTAGGAATAAACTTAAGAATACAAATAGACTGGCAAATGGTCTAAAAAAAATATTTTCTTAGCAGCAAGATATTCTAGAGCAGTGGTTCTCAACCTTCCTAATGCCGCGACCCTTTAATACAGTTCCTCATGTTGTGGTGACCCCCAATTTCATTGTTACAAATTAAACATAATTAAAGCATAGTGATTAATGACAAAAACAATATGTAATTATATATGCGTTTTCCGATGGTCTTAGGTGACCCCTATGAAAGGGTCATTCGACCCCCAAAGGGGTCGTGACCCACATGTTGAGAAACGCTGTTCCAGAGAGATAATTGGTTTCACTCAAACCAAGAATAAAATATGCCACTAAAAATATACCAATAAAGCTAGGGAAGAGAGACTGAACTTAAAAATCAGATCAAGTACCTTTAAAGAAAAATTATGACTTAGCCTAGGTACACACTCCAATGTATACCACTGAATAATATTCATAACCTTAAAGGTATGACTGGATTTGCACTAAACCTGACCTGGACACTAATGTGCCAATGATTATAATCCTAGTAAAAATAGAGACATTTATTGTGCATATACTAAGAGAGAGATAGAGAGAGAGAGAGAGAGGGAGAGAGAGAGAGAGAGAGATTGATGTGAGAAACTTCAATCAGTTGGCTTCTCGTATGCACCCCAACCAGAGATCAAATCCGCAACCTAGGTATGTGCCCTGAACAGAATTGAACCCACAACCTTTTCGTGTATACGGCAACACTCCAACCGAGCCACATCAGCCAGGGCTAAATTTTCAATTTCAGTATGAAGGAATTAAGAGTTGATGAAGGGACTACCTGTATTTTATATTCATGTCATAATGAT